CCTCTCAGAGCTGCTGTGTAAATACTGGTGCTAACCCATCCAGTCCCCGCCCTGCGCAAGGCAAGGCTGCTTTTTGACGGGCAAGCGCTAGCGGGCGGGAGGGGATTGGCGAAGACCCGCGGCGAGCGTCAGCTGCCATTGGCTGGGTGGGCATCACCGGCGCGGCCCCTGTTTACCTAGTGACCTGCCTTTGCTTTCTTGATGTCTGTGCTCTTGTTGCTAAGCCCCCCCTTGCCTGGCCAACCCGCCGCGGAGAGCATGAGCCGTCAACTTGCTTCTCTTTATTTTTAATTTTGTAAAAGTTGGGGGCTGGGCGCTCAGAAAAAAACAGAATTTTTTCCCCGCCGCCCCAGAAAGCAGGCGCTTGAGCGTGCCCCGTGGCGGAACCGGCAGCGCCCCTGGGCTGTGAGCGGAACCGGGGGGGAGGGGAAGCCTGGTTTGAGAGCCGGGGCGCGGGGCTGATGGGAGCGAGGCTGTCTGAAAGCGGGCGATGTTGTGTTCAGTTCAAGCTGTGAAAATAAAACTATATCAATGTTTTCCAATAAAATACAGTGACTACCTGATGCTGCTGAATCGTCTCTCCCCCCCACCAAAACCCTGTCTTCATCTTGCCTCAGCGAGACGGCCTGGATTTAATTCAGCTTCTCTCCTGCCTGCAGAAATTCCCTTCCTAGCTGGCTCTGCTTCCCGGCAGACTCCCTGGCCACCTGGAGAGCTCGGAAAGCAGATATCAAGCGTATAACCACTGAGGCCTGACAGGAGCGACTCTTTGCTCCCTTCTTTTATGCCTATAACTCTCATGCTTTGAGCCTGGGGGGAGAGAAACTCTTGGTGAGAGGTTTCGGTGAAGCCGCGAGGGCTGTTGGACCACAGGTCCCTCTCTTCTCTAAGGCTGGGCATGTCAACTCTGACTTTGCCAGAGGTGATGTGGGGGGAGGGGGGCACAAACCCTGCATGCGCCCCCCCCAGATTTGTCTTCCATTTAGCAACGGCTTCTAGAGGTTTGCAAATTGTGGGAGGTACCCCTCCAGGAGGCCATGGAGGAAGGTTTGCAGAGGTGAGCTAAGCACCTCCCTTTGAGTTACAATTTTTGGTGGCACCTCACCAGCCCAGCCACGCCACGTAGCCCCCTGAGGTGAGTCGGGGGGTGGACTGGCCACTCCCACCCTGAGCCCAGCTGCCAGACCCTGGTCTGAGCCCGCCTGGCATTACTGCTTTCTCTCCTCCCCCCCCCCAAACATTAATTCGTGCCCCCCAGTTTGATAACTTGTGCAGTACATGAAATGTGTTGTCTGCCGCCTCAGGATTTTTCTTGCGTACTCTTC